ACCCCGAACCACACTTCGCACATCCTTCTTTACCTTCAGGACAATTTCGCAATGGAACGCACTGCCAGGAGAGATAGTCTCTTCAACAAGCAAAGCGTCANTCTAAACTTGATAAGTATCTAGGTCTAGTTGCCTCCTCCTGAGTCCTCCTATGAAAAGCTTTATATATGTACTCAAAAATACAAAAAAACAAAAAACAAAAAAAAACATTTTATTGTTTCGCTTTTTATTATTTATTTTACCGTAGCCCTTCTTAGTTATTCTATGCCTGCCCATTTACTATAGCTCATTGTTGCGTTTACTATTAATGATGCCAGAATAGCCCCCGGGCAAGAAGACATATTGCCCCTCCAGTTTTCTCTGATTTTCCAGTTGCATCTTCCAAGAACAGAAAAAAAGAAACCATCAAGGATCCGGGACCATTGGGGGCTAGCCTCGAACCCGAGTGTCACTTCAAGACTTCAAGACATCCCTAGTGCTTCAATTTGACGACCTTAAGGTCTTCAGGGAATTGTGGCTTTTCCATTATCTTGCTCCATGTAAGCTTTGCACAGACCTGGACGCATAAAAATCTTAAAAAATTAGTTCTTAGTACAATGTGAAAAGGAACACTCCTAATTCAGTTACAACTTCGCTGGTATGTTCTTCATTCCTTGCCAAACATATTACCGCACGCCTTGTGGAGCTTGAATTGCGTTACCGTGTCAGCTTTTATCATTTCACTCGACAGCTTATTCCAGTCATTAATCTCTCGTACTTAAAAAAGAAGTGGCTTCTGATCCTCGGTCTGATTTTTTTCTTCTGCAGCCTCAGAGCATGTCCGCTAAGGGTTTCGCTATTTCTCATCCTAAAAATAGGCTCATTGGCGCCCTATGTCTAGCCTATTATTATCTTGAAAGCTTCCATTAGGTCGCCTCTTCTTCTCTTGAGAGAGAACAGCCCCAACTTCTGCAAACTTTAGTTGTACTCAATCCCTCAACAATGACCAAACCACCTGGTAAGGCGACGCTGTACCTGATCGTAAAGCCTGCTCCCGAATTTGGGCCTCCACGCTTGGACGCAATATTCTAGGGGTGGCCGGACAAACTCCTTGTATAGCGCTAAGAGAACTCAAGGCTTTCTCGAACATACCGCTCTTTTCAGTTGGCAAAGCACCAGTGTGGTTTTCTGTGCAGCATGATGGCACTGTTAGCTTAGCATGGAGTTTGACCCCATTTTAATTCCCAGCTCTCTAGCTTCAGTTGCTCTCCTAAATTTCCTTCTGTCCCCCGGAGGGCCCATATAGTGAATGAGCCTTGGCTCACTCTCCTAAAAGATATGCCGGCATTTTGCTACATTAAGAGCAAGACACCACTCCAACAACGACTGATAAACCTTATCTATATATGTTTGCATTCTGTTGTCTGTTACTGCCCCGATTATCTTGATGTCATCCGCAAACGTGAAGCATAATAATAATAATAATAATAATAATAATAATAATAATAATAATAATAATGGTATATTTCACGAAGCCCGTGAAGCATGCTTGTGCGCATGATCAAATGTACAATAATATAAAATTACAATGGGGACAGTAAGCGATAGTACAGAGTTTAAGTATCCAATTTGCAAGCGGATATAGAAGGAACATGAATGAGCTGTTTTCCGTGAAAACGGAACACAAGATGGACAAAGGTCATAATATGTAACAC